CAACCCTCATTGCATACTCCTACGATAAAAATAATGCCCTAAAATATAATACTTTTAGACTATTCTCTCCCCCATAGACTTCATTTCTATCTCAGACTCACTCATTGCCGTCAAATCAGAACCCTCCAGCTAGTTTTCGGAGGCTGTAAATCGTGTGGAAGAAGACTGTCAATCTTCTCCCACGGAGCCACCAGTGGATTTGAACTGGCTAAAAGAAACACCTTTCAGGTGACCAGCACATCTCTCAGTGGTCTTCGCCACTAAGGCTGTTCCGAAGAAGACAGATCTTTCATGGATTTTTATATCTCATCTTATTGCTATGGAAACAGGGCCAGAATAGAACTGATAAAACAATGTGTAGTCATGCAGGATTCCATATGTTATTGTCTTGTAGAACAATTAAAGTAATTCTGATTGACCCTAAAATAGACCTTTTAGTCTGATTGGTGGAGGTTCTTTGGTCAAAATAACCCATAGGTAGTTCTCTAAAGGAATGTGATGCCAAGGCTTTACAGATTTGCTGGACTACAGACCTTTAACGAGATAGACTGGCACAGTGATTGCAGCACAAGTGGGGGAAGCACAAACAGAGATGGCGAGGATGGTGCAGCGTCTGGCAGGCTTTCAGGCTGTTGGATGTATGATGACGACAACAACATTGTTTGGTTGAAAAGTAACTTTTAAGGAAACGAGTCTTTTCATAGCTCAAGGTTCAAAGATCATCCTGGCATAATGGTTGGAGTAGGTCATTTTTAACTTCCACAGAATCCAGATAGCTATCTGTATGAGAATGAAAAATTGCACCCCTCTCTAGCTACGTCTGCAGATGGAGGGGAGAGGGAAACACTTAGGGTGTGAATTAAACTGGAAGCTGGCTTCTCTGAGGCTGCCGCAGAAGAAATCGAGCTGCTTCATGAGCGGCTTCTCTGCCTCGTGATGAGCCTGTGGAAGCTGCACAGTAGGGTGTGTTTGGGGTCATCACTGTCTAACCCCTTAGGGTGTAGTCTTTTCTACGCTAACATCACTTGATTGCGCCAGCTGGCTTCCTCCTTGAGCTCCAGCAGTGTCTCTGAGGTTCATCGCAGCTCTTTTTTCCTCAGCCCTATAAACATGACTTTTATAAATTTGCCACCATTAACTACCATTGCAACCCCCTGCCGTAGATCTCTCTGGGCTCATTCCACAAATATCTGTGATTTACCAAATGAGTTTTCAGCAGAACTAAAGTAGTCCCTGGATGGTACAGATGGTTACCATGCTTGGGTGCTAACTGAAACTTTGGAGGTTCAGGTCTACCGAAGGGCACCACAAAGGAAGGTCTCAGGAGTCTCCTTCTGAAAGCCCTAAGGGGCACAGTTCTAAGCTGAGTAACATGAGGTTATCACGAATCAGAACTGACCCCATGATGACTGGCAGTGGTACTGGTAGAGAGACCACACTTTCATTCATTCAATTCTTTCTCTTGTTAAGGAGGCACCAGTTACTCCACTAGCATGTTGCTGTTGTTGTTGTTGTTGGGTGCCCTTGAGTCAAGTACAACTCATAGCAACCCTAGCAAAAAGAACAGTTTCTTGTCCTTGATTTGATTTGCCACTCTTTACTCACCTTCATGCCCCACCCCACTCTCATCATTTAAAGGTAACCATCAAAATGTCAGCTGCATGTGACTTATTGGAAGTCAAAGCAGTCTAGGGATCCATCACAGTCATTATAGAAAATGGGAAATCTGCAAATAATGCAATGTGAGGTAAGTGGTTCAAATCCAGAGGATGGACAATCTCTCCTGGCACAGTTACAGCCTCTGAAAAACCCCTGGAGGGTCAGCTATGAGGCAGCTTCAACTCCGTGGTACACAATAACAACAGCACAACCAAAAATTTAGACACTTGAGTTCTCTCAGAGGCAGCTCAGTAGAAATGCCTAAAGAGGTAGATCTGAAAACTCAAACACCGAAAACCCCACGGAATATGGGTCTGCCCTGACAAACATGAGTTCACCATGAGCGAGAGGCCACTCTGGGATTTAAAAAAAGGGATGTGGTCCAGTAACGTTCCACAAGGGGGCTCTGCATCCCTGTTCAGAGCACTCCACAAATCTTCCATCTGGGAGGGGGTGGCGGATTTTTGTGCGTTTTCCCAGAAATTGTCATCAGTGCAGGAAACTCTCATGACCTCATGGATAAGGAGCTGTGCTGCCTCCCTGAAGAAAGACACATGGTTCAGATCCACCAGCTCTGGTGGTGAAAGATGGGCAATCCCTTCCTGAGCGATTCACAACCCCCAAAACACACTGGAGGGTCAGCTATAAATTGGCACATAACATCAATCAGTGCAGTGGGGCTCTGGTGGCCAAGTCTGTAGGGAATTGCACAGCTAACCGAAAGGTGGCATGTCTCTGGTGGTTCAAATCCACCAGCTGCTCCCTGGAAGAGAGATGGGCAATCTCCTCTCATGCCATTTGCAGCCTCCAGAAACCCACTGGAGAGTCAGTTATGAGTTGGTTCCTACTTGACAGCAATGAGTTTGATGGTCAATGGGAGAGGACTTTTTCTAGGGGGAAAAATTGGCTCATTTTAAAGTCCACTGCGTTTTCAAAGGCTCCAGAAAAGTCCTGGTACTAGAGTGGGTGGGGAAATGTGTGGGTTTCCACAGGAAAAGATTTCCTGCCAATACATAAACTTGCTATCACCTGTTACTTACTGCAGTCAGGTTGACTCCAATGTAGAAACCTCCTTGTGCAACAGAGTAGAATTCCCTGAGAGGTGTTCTCAGCTGTGATCTTCCAGAAACAGATAGTCAAGCTGTCCTTCTGAGGTTCCACCAGCTGGATTCAAACCACCAACCTACAAGTTAGTAGTTAAGATCAAACCATGTGCACAATCCAGAAAACCTTGTTGTATCTATGAATAAAGTGGAGTTGGAATTATAAAGAGTCTCTTATTTAGTACAAGTAGCCCTGGTAGTGCAAAGGGTTAACTGTTGAGCTACTAACTGAAAGATCAGTGGTTGAAACCCATCGGCCACTCTACTAGAGAAAATTGACTCAAGTTTCAGCGCTTTACAGGCTGGAAAACCCTACGGTGCAACTATATTCTGTTCTACAGGGTCACTGTGACTCAGAATTGGTTACTAGTACTGCATTTGGCTTTAGTTTGGTACTTATATTTTTTAACTGCCTTGAGAATATTTAAATCCTAATGTCCCCACCTCCTGAGAGTTTAGGAGGCAGATATACTTGCCCCATTATGGACATAGTGTATCATGCATTGGGATGCTAACCAAAAGGACAGCAGTTCGAATCCACTAGTCCCTCCACAGGGGAAAGATTTAGAGCCTTAGAAACCTAACAGCGGGTTACAATAAGTCAGAATCAATTCAATGGGGCAGAGGGTTTGGAAGACTCTAAAAAAAAAAAAAAAAAAGCAATAACCCTAAAGTTGGGTCTTTTCTTTCATAGTGACTTCTACTTCTTGACCATTAAAATGAGATTCTCATTTTGTAAACTGGAAAACAGTGATACATTTGCTTGGGTCTCTGAGCAACTCTCTGGAAACCAAGGCCTGGTACTGCTAGAGGTGCTGACATGTTAGCTCTTGCTCTCTTGTGACTTAACGCCCATGTTCTCTCCCCATGATAAGCAAAAAATGAGGGAAACCTGAGGCAGAGAGACTGGAATTTCTCCAGGGACAAGACTGGAAGAAGACAGGGAGCAGTCTGTACTCCACGCACTGTTCTGGTGAAGCTGCCAGACAGGCTGGCTGCCAGGCTCCCCAGGCCTGGATATTCATTTCTTCTGAGGCAGCATAAAATGGCTGAGAGGGCAGAGCATGAGAGGCTTGGGTCAGGAAGGGGTCAACCCAAGAACCCTGGCTTCTGAGAAAGGTGAGGCACCTCCATGTCTGACTTCTCTTGTGAGGTGACGGAGCTCCATTGTATCCAGTGCCTCTTCCCCTGGACTTGTAACCAGGAAGTGAGGTACTCCCAGCTCCCCAGACTTTTGTGTCTCTTCACAGACAACACGCAGGACACCCCAGGTCTCAGATGTAAGATCTGGGAAAGATGGAAAAATCTGGAACTTCCATGCCTTGGGAAAGATACACAAGTCACGCTTTGTGGTTTTGCAAAAGGCCTGCCCGTTCTCAACACTACATACTTCTACAGGTAGTCATCAAAACAAGCAACGGTAATCCCTTAATAGCATGCCACTGTTTATAACGTGCTGTGGGAGACGTTATCTCATTTTGTTCCTCCTTCCCACAGCTCTGATGTAAATGGCATGGCTGTTATTATATGCCTGTTTTACAGCTGTGGGAACCCAGATTCAGAGCAATTAGACCATTTTCCTGCATCCCACAGCTAGAAATGATAGATCAGTCTAAACCTGACAGATACATCTCAACGCTCACTGCGCTATCTACCATCTCCAATGGGTGGAGTAAATGGGTAACATACTCAACTCCTCAAAAGAAAATGGTGGGGGATTGGGAGCTTTGGTTCATCAAAAGGCATCTGAGAAAGAAGGCTTGGTGAACTTCCTTCAGAAAATTAGTCACTAGAAACCCGGTGGAGCAGAGTTCTGCTCTGACAGCACTGTGGTCACTGTGAGCGCGAGTCCACACAACGGCAACTAGTGAAGAGGCCTAATCTCCGAATCCTGAGAGCCTCAGCGTCTAAGCAAGGTCCCTAAAAACCCACCATGGAAGCAAGGCGGGACAGGCGGGCACTCTTCACTCCTCGCTTCTGCTTCACACTGCAGCTGTTCAGCTCTTGTTCCCCTCTCCCCACCTTTTTTTTTTAACATTATAATTTCACAAAAATATTTTCACTCTTTTAAAAATTATATTACAACCCCCCCCCCATTCATTATGCTGCTTTTTACAATCACAGGGATGTGTGCTATATTAGTCCAAAGGCTGAAAAACGTCTTAGGAGTTGCCCTCTTCTTCCCCAGGAAAAAAAATTTCACTCAAAAAGATGTGTGGGAGGAGAAGGCATGAGGACGCCACCAGCTGCAGGAATCCGTGATGGTTAGAAGCATGGTGCTCTAAGAAGCGGCCTGAGGCACCACTGAGGACCCCTGTCAGGAATGCACACTCCAGGGTCCACTCCAAACCTACCGAAGCAGAAACTCTGGGGCTGGGGTCCAACAGTCTGTGCTCTTGTCAACCTTTGGGATTGTGGTGCTCTTTGCCGTTCAAGATACCATGGGGTAGGGTTTACGGAGGAGATAAGACCAAGGATGGCTGAGGGTAGCAGCTGGTTCACGGTATTTCATTCAGCCTTTTAAGTCTCAGCCCTGATTTACCGAGGTTCCCTTTCTAGAGTTTTAAGCGAAGGTAGCCCACTGACGTGAAAAAAAGGACTCAGATTAGGCTTGTCAGTGTGTTTCCTCTCTTCCCTGACAAACAGTCCTGAGGGGGAGGTGGGGGCCGTGACTTGAATAGACGGAGATCTCGGAGGTAAGCACAATTATTCATGAAAACAATCTGAGAGCCATCAATAGGTGCCGTGGTTCCCTGGCTACAGAAGGTAAATGGTCACCCTTCCATGCTCAGCTTCTATACTCAGCAGTGCATTTCACAAAGCCATCTGGCTGGCTTGGCAGGAAGGCCCCATTAGGGTTTAAGGTAAGGCAGAGTTCTTGCCAAGCAAGAAGGATCTAGCAGGGACTGGAGCACTGAAGTCTATAAAGTGTCTCTACAACAGTCACTTAGTTGACACATATCTGCTGAGTGTCTGTTATGCAGTTCACTCCACTTATTGTATTGAGTCAGAACTGACTCGCCAGCAGGTTTTTCAAGGCTGTAAATTGCCCATCTTTACTTAGTGAAGCCACTAGTGGTTTTGATCTACCAGAGAGGAACAGCTTTTCGGTTAGCAGCAAAATTCATACCCACTAAGGCCACCAGAGTTCCTCTGTTACACCACAGACCCTGAGGAGAAGAAGAATCTGCCCTCATCTAGTGGAGAGTGAAGATAAATGATAGATAGATAGATAGATAATAGATAGATAGCTAATAGATGATAGCTAGATGGATAGATGATAGATAGATAGATGATAGATAGATAATAGATATATAGATTGATGATAGTTAATTGTTAAATAGTGGATAATGGGCTAGATGGATGGGTGGATGGATATACACACATTCACACACACACACACACACACAAATGTGATAATGGTTACCCATGGTGGACAGTGTTTGGTGGAGCTCCCCAATTAAAACAGTTTGGAAGCAGAAGTGGCACCCACTTCTGAAATAGTTTGCCTCCGGAAACTCTATGAACATGGAGAAACGATGAAAGTCATACAAGTGTTCACGTCTTCCGTTCATAGTGTCGTTATAAATTGTCTACAACTTTACAACACTTAACAACAACATACACACATATTCAGGCATATGGAATATAATTCCTTATTATTATAAAGTCTCCCCAGAAAACATGCAATGTATTAGAGAAAGACAGGAAGAGATGGAAGTCACTAAAACTAAGAAGGAGAAATTTTATCAAAAAACTTGAAGTCTTTGTTAAGCTTAAAAAAAAAACACCTGAAAGAAGAAAGTAATCACCAGAAAGGGGGGAGACCCCTATCAAGTGCAAATGTCCTGAACACAGAATAGATCTTTTATACTTAAGAGCAGCCACTATGGTCATAGGTCTGAGTAGGGAGAATATGGGGGAGGTGCCAGGTAGGCCTTGATAAGGGGTTTTGATTTTTTTCTCTTTATTATAGAAGTCATCAGAAGGTTTTCCAATTCAAATACCACTATTTGCTTTTGTTTTGTTGTTGTTTCATCTCTCTCTGTTTTAATTGTGGAATAATTTACCAATAGCAAAACGAACAACACGTAAGGATACAAGTGGATGAGTCTTCACCCACGCACACAACTGCGTAATCACCATCTACACCACACTGGAGGTTTAGGATCATTCTGTGTGCTGCTCAGAGGATGGAGTGAGAGCAGATGGGCAAGAATGGAGACAGGAGTACCAGTCAGGAGCTGCGGGAACGATCTTGGCGAGGAGCTGGGTTTAGAATAGAAACACTGGTGGTGGGGGTGGTGAGAAGTGGTTGGATCCATTTCTATTTAGAAGCAGAGGTGAGAGGACTTGTTGAAGCAGAGCTGGGTGCGTGTGAAAGAGGAATGAAGAAGGCCTATGAGTTAGTGACTGAGTAACTATACAGTGATGCCCTTCAGTGAGGTGAAGAAAGACCTGGGAGAAGATTTGCAGGGTATGGGGAATCAGTGGTTTCAGAGAAAATGTGCAGTGTATGTCTTAAGGATTCTAAGGAGATCGAAAGGATCAAACACACTGCTTTGGTCTCCAGAAGGGAGATTTACACCCGGATAGACTAAGCTTGGCTCAATGGCACGTACAGCCTGCTTCTACCACTTATTGCTGTCAAGTCCAAATCAACTCATAGATGACCCTTCAGTGAGTTTTCACAGGCTGTGAATTGAACAGGAGGAAATTGTCCATCTCTCTCCTGAAGAGCTGGCGGTGAATTAGCACCAGCAAGAGGCACAGATCCCTAAGAACTACGCCACCTATGGTTCTTTGGTTCACACAGAGCACATACATATTCAAGTTTGCAGTACAGGTTATTGATACTAGCTAACAAAACAACAACTTTCCAATCAGGCTGAAAATGCAGACCGAAATCAGGCCTAACCCCCCTCTTTCCCACCTTCTAGATTCTGATGTCGGAGCCAGGGAAGTTGCTACAGAAAGTGAAGGTGTGGCTGCAAGAGTATTGGAATGTCACAGACCTCATAGCCATCCTTCTCTTCTCGGTCGGAATGATCCTTCGTCTCCAAGACCAGCCCTTCAGGAGTGATGGGAGGGTCATCTACTGTGTGAACATTATTTATTGGTACATCCGTCTACTAGACATCTTCGGCGTAAACAAGTATTTGGGCCCGTATGTGATGATGATTGGAAAAATGGTAAGCAGAATCTTCTAATTCTATATTATTATAAGTGCCTAGAAAGAGATTATAATATTAGGGAGAAACAAATTCTTTCTCTGGATCTGTTATCAAAGTCTAAATGAAGTGGAATGTGCTGATATGTTTGAATAACTATTATTGAGTGTTTGGGATTTTGATTGTGTCTACATGCATAACTGGATAATTGATCACTAACAATTCATTTCACATACTGAAAGATATATTACAATCACCTATTTTGTAGCAGGCCCTGGGCTAGAAGTTGGCTATATAAAAATGTTTTTTTCTAGGAGGTAGAAGATAAGAAACAGAAAGAGGGCAAGAGAAGTAATGACCTTACAACATGAGAATGCTGTAAAGGCCCAGAGGGATGGGTCCTTGGAAAAGGACATTATGATTGGAAGGGTGGAGAGATGGCACAGGAGAGGAAGACCCTGGGTGAGATGGACTGACACAGTGACTGGAGTAATGAGGATAGATGTGTCAGAGACAGTAAGATTGGCTCAAAATAGGGCAGGATTCTGAGCTAATGTACATTGGGTTGCTATGAGTCGCAAACAACTCGATGGCACATAACAGCAATATACAGTAGCAAGGGAGTTCTGGTGACTTAGTGGTAAAGAGTTGTGCTGCCAACCCAAAGGCACAGGGTTTGGATTCACCACCTTCTCCTTGGGAGAAAGAAGGGCTGTCTCCTCCCTTGTGATGTATTGCCTTTGAAAACCCACTGAAGGGTCAGCTATTAGTCAGTGCCAACTTGACACTACATAACAACAACAAATGCAGTAATAAACTTAAAAAATTAAGAAAAAGGTGAAGGAGGGGATATAAATCAGGGAAAGCTTCACTTAGAGGTTATCTTTTACTTCCTATAATAGAACAGTAAAATGCCTCTCCATATGAATAGTTTAAAAAAACATTCAACAACTACACCTTGAGATGTGTTGTACTGTGAATTTAAATTGAGTATTATGATCTATCAGTATATCATGTGCATTGTTATACTACCTGAAAATGAATCTGTTAAGAACTAGGTTCTAAAATTATGCTCCTAGTTCTTTTCACCTATGAAAGACTCATTTTGTTCAAAACCATGATGACAGTTTTGATACAGTAAGGCAGAAATATCTCTTGGTCTAATTCTCAAAAAGAAAGTCCCGAGTAGCAAGCTAGCTTGCTTCCCCAGCTCCCCTTGAACACACAGCAATGTCTAGATTTCTCCCAAGGAAATAGAACCCAAAACAACAGCCTTTGTGTGAGGGAAGGAGTGAGGAACTTAAGAAGCACCCAAACCCCCATAAGGAAGACTCGGATCGGACTGCCCACTAACTGGATGCTTTATATACGTTTCCTCACTTTTTCGCTATGTCCCCTACCTCACCTTTACAATACATATATGAAAAACCTCAATTCATCTGTCTGACATCACAGTCACCTCTTACTAAAAACCTCTTTGCTATTAACCTTCACTGACTATAGACTTTGCTCATATGAGCTGGTTAAATCAACAATTGATTCAAAGTTATTTCTAGATCCATCTTGAAATACAATATTGTGAGTGGCAGGATAATATCTGTACACTCAAGGAAGTCCAGTGAATACCACTATCATTCAAATATATGCAGCAACAACTAGAGCCAAGGAGGAGGAAATAGAAGATTTCTGCCAACTTTTGCACTCAGAAATCAATCACACATGCGATCAAGACACATGAATAATAATGGGTGACTGTACTGCAAAGTTGGGAACAGAGAAGAAGGATCAGTAGTTGGAAAACATGGACTAGGTGACAGAAATGAAGCTGGAGATAGAATAATAGAATTCTGTACAATGATCTACTCATTGCAAATACTTTTTATAAGAAACATAAACACAGGCTATAAACATGGATTTCACTTGATGGTATGCATAGGAATCAGATTGATTACCTGTGTGAGGAGATTCATTGGAGAAGCTCAATATCAGCTCTTAAAATGAAGCCAGGTGCTAATTGTGGAATAGACCACTCAAATGCAAGTTCAAACTGAAGCTAAAGAAAATTACATCCACAGGAAGCAAATTTAGACCTTGAGTCTATCCTACTCAAATTTCAAAACCATATAAGGAACAGGTTTAAGGCCTTGAACTCTAATGACTGAAAGCCAGATGAGTTGTGGAAGGATATCAAGAATATCATTTATGAAGAATGCAAAAGGTCGTTACAAAGAAAGAGGAAGAAGAAAAGGCCAACATGGATGTCAAATGAGACTCTGAATATTGCACTAGAGTGAACTAGAAGCCAAAGCAAAGGGGGAAATCAAGAAATTGAGGAGCTGAACAGAAGATTTCAAAGGGCAATGGGGGAAGACAAAGTAAAGTATTAAAATGAAATGTGTGAAGAGCTGGAGTCAGAAAATCAAAAGGGCTGAACTATTGTCATTCCTTAAGCTGAAGGAAGTGAACATTCCAGCCTTGAGGTGCAGTACTTAAGGATGTTTTGGACAGATTATTAGATTATCCAGGAAGCATTAAAAGTAGATGGGAGGAGTACACAGAATCGTAGTACCAACAGGACTTGGCTGACACAGAAGAATTTCATGAAACAATGTATGAACAAGAGCTTGTGGTGAAGAAGGAAGAAGTCCAAGGGGCTCTGAAAGAACTGGAAGAAAACAATGCCCCAGGAATTGATGGCATGCCAATTGAAATATTTCAACAGATGGTGCCCTGATGTGTTCAAGAAATCTGGAGGATAACCACCTTGCCAACTGACTGGAAGAGATCCATATTTGTTCCCATTCCAAAGAAAGGTGACCTGACAGAGTGCAGAAATTATCAAACAATATCATTAACATCACACTCAAATAAGATTCTGCTGAAAACTATCCAAAAGTGACCGGAAGAGCACATCAACAGAGAACTGCATGAAGTGCAGGCTGAATTTAGAGGAGGCCTTGGCACTAGGGATATTATAGCTAAGGTTAGATGGATCTTGGCTGAAAGCACAGAGAGTACCAGAGGAATGTCTATCTGTGTTTCATTGACTATGCAAAGGCATTTGACTGTGTGGATCACAACAAACTGTGGCTCACTGTGAGAAGAATGGGAATCCCAGAACACTTGATTGTGCTTATGCCAAACCTATAGTTGGACCAGGAGGCAGTCATCAGAACAGAGCAAAGAAACACTGCATGGTTCAAAATTGGGAAGGGTGTGTGCCAATGATGCATCCTATCTCCATACCTTTTTAATCTATATGCAGAATAAATCATCCAGGAGGCTGGGCTCTATGGGGGAATATGTGGCATCAGGATTGGAGGTAGACTCATCAACAACCTGTGTTATGCAGATGACACAACCCTGCTTGCTGAAACTGAGGAGGACCTGAAGCACTTGCTGCAGAAGGCCAAGAACTGCATGCAGCCCTCAATATAGATTGAAGCTCAACATCAAGTAAACAAAGATTCTTATCGCTAGCCTGATTGGCAACGTCATGATGGATGGTGAAGAGACTGAGATTATTAACAGCTTCAGTTTGCTTGGCTTCACAATCAACACTCTTGGTACCAGCAGCTAGGAAATTAAAAGACAAATTGCACTGGGAAAGTCTGCTCTCCAGAATACTGAAGAGCTCAGTCTGGAGATTAAGGTGCACCTGATTCAGGCCATGGTCTTTGAAGTTACTTGCTATGCATCAGAAAGCTGGACAATGACTAGGGAAGATAGATGGAGAACAGATGACTTTGAGCTGTGGTGCTGGAGAAGAGTACTGAATACACCATGGACTGCCAGAAGAACAAATAGGTCTGTCTTGGAGATGGTGAAACCAAGTTTCTCCTTGGAGGCAAGGACTTTAAAGCTCCATCTCACATACTTTGGGCAGTGGCCAGGAAGGATCAGTCCTTGGAGAAGGATATCATGCTTGGAAGGGTGGAGGGATAGAGCAGGAGAGATTTGATGGATTGAGTGTGTCAAAGTTAGTGTGACTGCTCAGGATAGGGGAGGGTTCAGAGCTATTGTACATAGGGTCGCTGTGAGTCATGGGTGACTCAATGGCACATAACAAAAAGAGCAATGTAGAAATAATAAATATATGTGTTGCTGAGTTAGTTAAAAATAAAACATTAAATGATCAACTCAGTGTCTAATTCATCATTATGGTTAGTTGCTCCTGAGTTGACCATAACTCATAGGGAACCTATAAACAAGTTGGAACCTTGCCCTATCCTGCACTATCATAACGATCCAGCTTATAGTAGGTGGGTGTTATTTGCCTCTCTTATCGTTTATATTATGTTTTATTAAGAGCTGCATAAAAAGTAAAAAAAAAATACTAATGCTGTCAGTCATCTTCATTTCTATCGTAGAGGAGCTGGTGGGTTCAAACCATATACCTTTGGGTTGGCAGCACAACTCCTTACCTCCTATGGCACCAGAGCTCCTAATATATCTTTAAATGAACAATGATGTTAGCTGCAGTATCCATGCACAGTTTTTCAGCCTTGGTATTATGAGCATTGGGGCTAGGTGAATTTTCCTCTGAGAACTGTGCACTGCAGAATGTGCAGCAGCTTCTGCGGCCCCTACCAACTAGATAAAGCAGTGAACACATTCCTAGAGTTAAGTCAGCAGTGTTTCCAAACCCAAAACACCACACGCTCTGCTGTCAAGTTGATCCCAACCTTCCTTGTTTCCAAGGCTGTTAATCTTTTACAGAAGGAGATTTCCATTCAGAAAAGCCACTGGTGGAATTGAACCACTGACCTTTCAATTAGCAGTGCAACACATAATGGATTACAAGCCAGAGGTTTTGGCCAAATGCCCTCTGGGTGACAGGGATGGGGTGGTAGCTAAAAGTAGCCCCTGTAGAGAACCACAATGTTAGGAAAGTCCATATTCTGATCAATTGTTAGTTCTGATTCCCACTGATTTTACTTCAAGAAATAAAATCTTAGAAGGTAAAAACAACACAAACATATTACTTTTAAAAGGCTGGGCTACTTTTAATTACTTGAAAT